TCATGCAATGCCCGCAGAGGACAGAAGAGACTGTCGGATCCCCTGGAATTGGAGTTAGAGATAGTTGTTAGCTGCCATGTGGGTGCTGGGATTTAAACCTGGGTCTTCTGCAAGAACAGCCAGTGTTCTTAACCACTGAGCCATCTCTCCAGCACTGCTCCCCCATACATTGTATGGCACTCTCAAAGAAACAACAAAAATATTTTTAGACTAAAAGAAAAAATAATCTGACAAAATTAAAAGGCTATTTATGATAAAACTTTCAGGAAACTAAAAGTAAAAGACCACTTTGTCGATTTTGGTAAAGAATATGCACAAACGACTGCAGCTAGCATCATCCTTAGCAATGAGCCATTAGACCTCTCTTCCTCAGTTCAGAAACAAGGAAAGGATGCCCCCTGTTTCTATCTCACATAGAACTGGAAGGTTTAGTACAGTCACAAGGCAAGAAAAACAAACAAATAAATATAGGGAAAGAACAAATTAAAATGCTGAAATTTACAAACGGTATTCTATTTAAATAGAAAGCTCTATGGAATCTATAAAGTATTCTTCAAATTAATGAGTAAATTTAGCACCATGACTGCATGTGCGGTAAGTTTATAAACATCAACTGTGTTTTGCTATGTCAGAAAAATATTTGAAATTGAAAATTTAAAATACTACTCATCCAGTCATCAGAAAATACAAAATACTAAAAATATACCTAAGAAGATTCATGTAAATGTGCATCTAAAAACTACAGAATATGTAAAACAGAAAGTTAAGATCTAAATAAATGGAACCACACACTTGGGATGGGAGATGATGTTGTCAGGGTGTTCCTGCTCCCCCAAATGAACTAGAGCTTCAACACAACCCCAGCAGGATGCTGGCAGGATGCCTGAATGGGTAAAGGTCCTTCCTGACAAGCCTGAGGGTGTGTTTGATCCCATGAGGAAGAATGAGAGACCCGACTCCCACAAGCACACCTTAGTGTATGCCCACACACATATACACACTAAATAGATAAATGTAAGTTTAAAAAATTGAATCCCAGCAGTTTTTCTGAAGAAGTAGACAAGTGGTAGGAGGAGTGAGTTCAAGGCCAGCCTGGACTATGTAAGAAGACTGTCAAAGACAAAAATAAACCCCTAGGATTTGGATGAGAATTTGAGGGTTTATAATAGCTAAAACAAGCTTACAAACGAAGAACAAACTTCAGGAACCGACATTCAACACAAGCACAGGATGAAAGAATGGAGCACCAATTCAGAGCATGAGGAGCCCATGTGTATGCTCAAATGAGTTTTGACCAAGACTGCCCATTGGGGTGGATGTCCTTTTAGACAAGTCACGTTGAAACAATTAGCTATCCATAAGGAAATAATAAATCTAGCCCTCGCCTCACTCTAAACACAATACTAAACTGGTACAGCTCATGAACCTAAATGAAAACCCATAATCACAATCTTTCTAGAAAAAAGACTATTTTGAGAAATTTGAGGTAAGCAAAGATATGTTTTTTGCACATAAAATAACTATAAAAGCAAAGGGTGTCGCTCAGTCCTCTAGTGACTGATGGTCTCCCCAGAGGTACACCGATTTGAACAGTTATTCATACATCAAACTACCTTCCCAAGCAAGACATAAGATTTGGCCTGAGAAATCGAAGGCACTTTAGAGTTTATTGAGTTCAGACTCCTGCTCTGTGCAGAAATGTCCAGTGTAATCATTTTGATGGTATTCATATTGCCTCCACTTCAACTCTCAAATTTTTTCTGGTGTCTTGTGAATTCCTGTCTCCTAAAGATACAGGATGTCTTGTGATGAAGCCCAGAGAACCGATCAGGTAGATGGGTAGATGAAAGATGGGGCCATCCTTTCCTTTCACCTGTATTGTGTGGATGAACACTTGTTTGAATTACTTCAGAAACAACCAATCTAGTATCAGAAGAACCAAGCTTTGTTTGAGAGGGGCGATGGAACGGTGACAGGTGCAGATAAATAATGGAAGAGTAAAATGAGTATGACCTTATAAACCTCCATGCACAAGGCTGTCATTGATATACTTAACATTTATTTCCTTATCTGTTTATTTACACGATATGTGTATGTGTATGTAAATGCCAAGGGCTGTGTGTCACCTTGTGTGTGTGCACTGTGTGCGGAGGTCAGAGGACAACCCCGGGTTTCAGGCCTCACCTTCTACCTTGTTTGAGATGGGGTCTCTTTGTTTTGTTTTGCTCCTGCAGCGTGCACCAGGCTAGCTGGTCAGTGAGCTTCCAAGCCTGTCTCTCATCTCCTCATAGGAGTGCTGCGATCACAGAGGATTTTACCCAGGTTTTGGAGATTTGAACTCAGGTCCTCATGGCAAGCACATTGACATATTGAGCCACCTCCCTAGCCCTTTTATCTATGTTTTTAGCATTTCATGAATTTGCATGGCATCATTGTGCAAGAGTCATGCTAATCGTCTCTGTATTGTTCCAATTTTAGTATATGTGCTGCCTAAGCAAGCACCATTTATCTATTTTTATTTATTTATTTATTTATTTATTTATTTATTTATTTTATTTATTTATTTATTTAGTCAGTCAGTTAGTTAGTTTTGAGACAGGGTCTCACTGTGTAGCACCAGCTGGCCTGGAACGTGCTACATAGACCGTCCCATACTGGCCTCGATTTTTCAGTAATCTACCTGTCTCTGCTGGGATTAAAGGCATGTACCACTATGCCTAGCACCTTTTATTATTTTTTAAAATAAACCTTTTCAAAGTCTTATGATTTCTTGCCTATAGGCTGGAAAATGCAAGCTGTCATTGAAGGTTCATTCCCAAGGAGAGTGGGAGTGGGGGTTGGAAGGGTAGGTATGATCATGATTCATTTTACATACACATGAAGTTGTCAAAGAATAACAAGATATTCTTTAAAGGTTCATTCCCACCCCAACTCACCCTTTCTTATAAACAAAACGAAACAAAACAACATGGTCTCATGTAGCCCAGGCTGGCTTGGAACTCACTGTGCAGTTCATGATGACTCTGAATACCTGATCCTCCTGCGTCTACCTCGCAGGAGTTGGGATTACAGATGTGTACCACTATGCCTGGCATTCTCACCTCTCCAAGAAAAACTTCATGAGCAAATGAATAGAAAACACACGACAGCAATCCCTACATAGTAAGTGCTCAATGTTGTTTTCTATTATTTTGTTGGCATTATACAAATAAGAGTATTTTTTTTTTGAGACAAGGTCTTCTTGTAGCCCCAGCTGGCCCGGAACTCACTATGTAGACCAGGCTAGCCTTGAACTCACAGAGATCCACCTGCCTCTGCCTCCTGAGTGCTGGGCTTAAAGGCATGCCCAGCTATATACATATATATATATTTTTTTTTTAAAGACATCATTGAGAAAATGAATAGACAGGCTACAGATTGGTGGGAAATATTTGCTAAACATATATGACACAATGAATTGGTTTCAGGAATATGAAGAACCTCTAATAGTTTTAAAGAAGGTAATCTAATTTTTAAAATAGGCCACAGGTTTGAATAGACACTTCCTTAAGGAAGTGTGCAGATGGCCAAAATGCAGCTGAGTGAGTGCTCCACATTCATTGTATAAACCTGAGTGACACCACAAACACCGGGACAGTCAGAACTACAAAGACTGACAATATGAAACATTAGAGAGGTCCTGGTGCAACTGAATTTCTTATGCGTTTTTGTTGTGAATATAAAACAATGCAACTGTTTTTGGGGTATTTTGTTTGTTTTTTGTTGTTGTTTGTTTTTTGTTTTTTGTTTTTGTTTGAGACAGGGTTTCCCTGTAGCCCCAGATGGCCTGGAACTCGCTATGTAGTCCAGGCTGGCCTCAGTCTCATAGAGATTCATCTGCCTCTTGTCTCCCAAGTGTTAGGATCAAAGGTGTGTACCACCATGTCCAGTCTGCAACTGTGTTTTTTATTTGTTGTTATTGTTGTTTAATAAATGGTTGATTTTGTTTGTTTATGGTGCATGGGACTGAACCCAAGGCCTCAGGACATGCTAGGCAAGTGATCTATTTTCCCAGCTCTAAGTCTCTTATAAAACTAACATCCACTTACCCTCAGACCTACCAATATCACCCACAAGGAAGGAAAATATATATATATATATATACATATTTGAAGAAGGATTTGTATGTACATAGATGTTGATAACTGTTGTAGTCACTGTCATTCTAAATGGAAAAGTGTCCAAGTGTCTGCATACATGAGACAGGCTAGATGAAATTGTGGCATGTATGTGCAAAGGAATTCTGTAGTAATAGAAAGAATAAACTATCAATACACATAATAACATGGATACAACTTTAGAACAAGCAAAACAAATCAAGATGGAAAAGCCCTCACAGCTGCTGCTTGCGCCTGGTCTAGTGGAGCCTGGCTGCAGAGGGGGTAGGAATGTTCTGTGTGTTGAGCTGAACAGCGACATTGGATACAGTTGCCAAAACTTATCACATGGACACTTGAAAATCTAAGCATTTTAGCATATGCAAATTACTTCACAATAAAAAATAGCTGCAGAGATGATTAAAGAATTAATGAATTCAGAACTAGACACAAACACAGATGACAAGGTAGTTTTATTTCAAAAGAGTAGATTAGTGGATTATTTAATAGTGATATTGCAGTGACTGAAAGAGGTAGATCAGGGGCCGGTGAGATGGCTCAGTGGGTAAAATGCTTGCCACCTGATGACGCGAGCTGACGACTTGAATTCAATCCTGGAACTCACATAAATGAGGAAGAAGAGAACCAACTCTACAAAGCTGTCCACACGCATGCCATGGCATACACACGCACACACACACACACACACACACACACACACACATGCACACACCATGCAAACACACATATAGACACGATACATTTTTTAAATGATATAAACCCAGAAGTAATTAAAGAAGAGTATACACGCACTAAAATCAACCACTTTTGGTGTGTGTGGGGAGGGGGGCATGAATAAAAAGAAATGAACAAACAAGTATGTAAAAAGAGATCACATTTTTTCAAGATTAGTAAACCAAGAGAAAAATTGGGCACAGGGTATGGACAGATGGCTCACAGAAAATACATGCAAATGGCTTGCAAACATACAAAAGGATGTCCACGCGCAATTAAAGGCAGAGAAAGGCCAATAACAACATGAAGTTACTGTTCTCCCCGATTAGACAGCATGGGCCCAGTGTTTGGTGATCTCCCGTGCTAGGGAGGACAGAACACTCTCCTGCTTTCCTGATGAGAATATAAATTGATGGACTCTTGGAAGACAATCCAGTGATATTTATCAAATATAAAATTGCCCTCACCCTACGACCCAGGCATTCAACTTCTAGGAATTAATCCAGCAGAAACACTTCCACATGTCCAGAAAGACAAATGACGCAGATACTAACGCAGCCTTGTTCACGGTGGCAAATGATGGCCATCAGGAGGAGGCTGACTAAATGAATGGCCCGGTATGGACTCAATGGGATGCCTCAGGATTGCCGGAAGCGTGCTAAAGTGGTTTAGCAGGATCCCTCAGAACTCACTCTGGAGCCAGATGCCTGACTCTTGTCCAGTACTGACTGTGAGACCTTATGCCGGTTATTGGCCTCGTGTCTTCCATTGTCTTATCTCTTGAATGGGATTGGTGATGGTGAGAACAGTGAAAACAATAGTAACAGTAATGCCATGAATTACAATGCGGAGGAAATGAGCAAAGGCACTTCAGGTGTTTAGATCAGTTCCGAGAGTGTAGGGAGGAGGCTACACTTACTGCTGATCTGAAACAGCTCCAAAACACTGTTAAAAAGCAAGATGCAGTTCCGGTTGCAGAAAACTGGGTGCATTGAAATGTCACACTGTACACTTAAGGAGTCACTAAAAATAATGAAATAGGGCAGTTCTACAGAGCTACGCTTACATATACGTGCAACATCTCTAGAAGGGTGTGCTAGCCACTACAGATTAGCTGGTTGTGGTATGCATCTGTAGCTCCAGCCCTGGGAGGCTTAGGCAGGAGAATCACACGTTCAAGGCCAGCCTGGGTTATATAGGGATAGGCCGACTCAAAAACAAACAAAAAGCAATGGAAAAAAAAACTAGAAATTATATCCAAGGGATGAGCATGGATGGGAGAAACTTTTATGCAGTTAAGTATGATTTTTTACAAAGTATTATCTACTTCAAAATTGTAAAATTAAAAAAGGCATATTCTGGTTTGGGGGGTTTTGTATTTGTTTGTTTGTTTGACTTTTTTGAGACAGGGTTTCCCTGTAGCCCCAGCTGGCCTGGAACTCACTACTAGACTAGGCTGGCCTCAATCTCACAGAGATCTGCCTGCCTCTGCCTCCCTGCTCCTTGGAGTGATGGGACCTGATTGTGGTGGTGGTTATACAATTTTATTTTTATTTTTTTATTTATTTACCTGTGTATGTGTATGCTTATGTGGTATGCATTCATGTATGAGTGTTCGCATATGTGTGGGTACATGTGTGTATGCAGGTGAGCAAGCACGCATGTGCGTGCATGCAAAGGTCACAGGTTGACATCACTCTGCACCTTATATATTGGGGAAGGTCTCTCATTTGAACCCAGAGCTCCCAGATTTGGCTGGTCTGGTAGCCAGCTTGCTCTGGAGATCCCTTGTCTCTGCCTCCCTTGTGCTGGGATTACAGTCTGCCCAGCAGTTCTGTGGGTGCTGGGGGTCTGAACTCCACCCCTTACGTTTTCATGGCAAGTACTTTATCCACTGAGCCATCTTCCCAGCCTCAAAGTTCTATAAATGTGTTAGAATTCATAGAACTATATATAAAAAGGAAAGAAAAAGTAGATTTTATCATATGGTAAATATTTAAAATTTAAAAATGAAAGTCCCTTTGGTTGCAGTGCATAATACAAAGCACCCTGGGGACAGGAGGCCACTGGGAAGGTGACTGCATTGAGGGAAAAGAGGTATCACAGTCAGAGGGACCACAGGGAAGGAAGGGAGGACACAGCATGCTGTGGAGGATGTGGAGGGGAAGGCTAAGTACAGTGTCTGGGAGGACTCAGCATGGTGTGGAGGTTGCAGGAGGGAGGACTCAGCATGGTGTGGAGGTTGCAGGAGGGAGGACTCAGCATGGTGTGGAGGTTGCAGGAGGGAGGACTCAGCATGGTGTGGAGGTTGCAGGAGGGAGGACTCAGCATGGTGTGGAGGTTGCAGGAGGGAGGACTCAGCATGGTGTGGAGGTTGCAGGAGGGAGGACTCAGCATGGTGTGGAGGTTGCAGGAGGGAGGACTCAGCATGGTGTGGAGGTTGCAGGAGGGAGGACTCAGCATGGTGTGGAGGGGCTAAGTACAGTAGGAGGGAGGACTCAGCATGGTGTGGAGGTTGCAGGAGGGAGGACTCAGCATGGTGTGGAGAATGCAGGAGGGAGGACTCAGCAAGGCATGGGGGATTTGCGTGCTGCTTTCTTTCGAAGGCACATGGTGACAGTGTACACTGTG